ACTGATGTTTCAGGAGTATCAAGCACAAGAAACAACAAAAGGAAGATTTCATTTCAGAGTCCAAAGCGCAAGAAAGAACAAAAGAAGATTTCCGGTACACCGCCAACACCTAATCCTATGCCAAACAAAAGGAAAACAAGTACACTTGTACCAACCGAGAGTGCCCCCGCCGAACTTGTTGTCACACTACGAGAATGGAGAATGGACAATAACCAGGTTGAATCTTGAGCATAATCATGCGCTTGCAAGCAAGGATCAAGAATAAAACTGTTTTCACAGATAGGATGGTGAAATGGAGAAGGAACTTATTGCAACATTCAACAAAGTGAACCTACCAGATAGGAAGATTATGGCAGTCCTATCTTATATAAGAGGGGATGTCACCCATACAACAAGAAACATATCAGCAATGAGAAGACAAAGATAAATAAGGCAACATCGGATAATGACATGCAAAGCAAGTGTATGACCGGGTTCTCTAAGAAACAGCAGTGAGGACCCAATATTCTTCTACAAGTTTTCCATAGATGAAAACAACAAAGTGAAAAACATTTTCCGGTCCAATGGTACAAGGAGAAGGTACTATGAGGAATTTGGAGATTGCATCGTTTTGATACAACCTACAACACAAACAAGTACTCCTCAAGTTTGCACCAATTGTTGGTATTACAGGTCATGGGGACAATTGCCTGTTTGGCTGCGCTTTCATAATGGATGAAACTACAGAAACTTTTGAGTGGTTGTTTCAGACAATGCTGACTTGTATGGGAGGAAAGCACCCTAAAACTATAATCACGGACTAGGACCTAGCAATGAAGGCTGCTATCAGAAATGTTCTACCAGACACTATTCATCGGAACTGCTTCTTCCACATTGTGAAGAAAGCTCAGGAGAAAGGTGGCAGGATATTTTCATTGGAAAGGAACAAGAAGCTGCATGATGATCTCTTTGACATTCTTAGGAACTCATTGACCAAAACAGAGTTTGAGTACTTGTACAAGAAGTTGCCACAAACATATGATGTCGGTGGCTTCAGATACCTTGATGACATGTGGTTTAATAGGGAAAATTTTGTTCCATGTTACTTCAAGAAGCATTTCTTCCCTTTCATCAACTCTACAGTGAGAAGTGAAGGCACAAATGCATTATTCAAACTGGATGTCACACCAAGGTATAGTATTATGAGATTTATGAATGAGTTCCAAAGAATTTCAGATACAACAGAAAAGAATCAAGCAGAACAGGACTTTGAAACCAGATCAATGCCTTGGTTGAGTATGGCATATGAGTTCGAAAGGCAGGCTGCAAGGCTGTACAACAGAAAGATATTCTTCAAGTTTCAAAAGGAGCTCATATTGGCAACAAAGTATGAGGCTCAAGAACTCCAGAAAGATAAAGTTTATGCAGTGTTAAAATCAGAGTACCATAGGCGCTTTGAGTTCGTAACAAGGAGATACATTGTGACATGAGACATGACACGTAAAAAACTATAGATGTCTATGTTGCAAATTTGAAAAAGATGGTATAATAATATGCCTGCCATATCATCAAGGTGCTCACAAACCTAAATATATCTCAGCTAGATGACAGTTATTTCATTGAAATATGGAGGGCTAAAGAGAGGAAACAATTGACAAGGAGTAACACTGTACTGTAAATAGAGATTGAGAAGAGCAGGCCATTGAGGCACAACATATTGTCAAACAAGTTGAGCAATATTGCTTCAGATGGATCAAGAACAATGGAAACATTCAACTATGTTCTAGAAGAAGTCGAAGTGAATGCAAAGAAAACTCAATGAACTGAAAGAGATGAAGTTTAACCGCAACAATCACAAATCTGTTCAACAAAGTGGTACTAATGTTTTGCAAGATGCTAATGATGCGATCAGACTACCTCAAGCAGAATCAGCTCAAGAAAGTGATACAATGCTTTTGAAAGACCCTAATAATGCTCAGAAAAGAGGAAGGCCCAAGAAAGTGACCAGCAAATAGGAATAGTTGAGGACATCGAGAAGCAAAGCAAAAGGCAACTTTACACGTGACACACTTTAATCGTGAAGGAGGGCATAACATCAAGACATGCCAAAAAGCATCTTCCTCCCGTGCCTAAAAAAACAAAGAAAAGGAAATCAGGTAACACAGAAACATAGATAAAAAGTAAATGTTAGCACTACAACAACAGATGTCACTTCTTCATATGTATATTCATCTAATGTTGTTGATATTATCATGAAAGGAGATGTTGACAACACCAATAAACAGTAGCAAAAGATTGCAAGTGCAAAGCAAAGTAAAACCAAAGAAGGGAAAGTCAAGAATTGAGAAAACCAAAACAAGAGATGGAATGCTAATAGCTGCAATTACAAGGTGGCCAAATAATTTATGTAATTTATTAGTAATAGAGCAATTGTAAATTCAAGATTATTATATCTTTAGACCTACAATGAAATGTATCTATCTGAGGCTCTTGGAAGAGACTCTCTGGGCATAACTTGATAAAACATGGATTGCCGTGCTCATAACTAAAATTGGAATTAGGTGCCTACACTTGCAATTTACATTACATCAAACTGCAATTACATAACCTGAATATTTAAGTTGTTTGGTTTACATATGCAAAGGCCTGCATGCCATCGCTATCTTGCTAAGAGAACTTGGTGCGCATATACATACCGCCATATGCTTCATCCATGGTTTCAATTGGATTGTTATTTTTCTTTTTGTTGCAAAGCTGCAAGAAAAAAATAACAACTTTTGAGTCCTCCTTGTTATGAAAATTACCATCACGCTTCACAACTAAAATTATCAACACATAAATATTTCAATCACTCACACAAAGAGTTCACAAATCCTAGCAATATCAAGAAAGGCGACCCTCTGCTTGAGCAATGGCATGTTCTGCTCTAACTTGTTCATGTGGCCTCCCACTCCTGATATCGGCAGAATTGGAGCTAGGTGGCCTTCCCATCTTCCTGTACAGACAAACCCAACAAACAAGACAATGTAGTCAAATCACAATACATAGGAAAAAAGTTGATAGAAATATAGCAAGCATGGCAGCATGGTTACAGATATAAAATACAAAAAATGTACCCAATCAAGAAAAGCATGGTTGCATACATAATCAATATGCAAGAAATGGTTATACTGAGAATATCTGAACAGGAAAGACAACTAAATGATGAAATCATTCTAGATCAAGAAAACACATAACAATTGTTGATGAGGCCATCGAACCTCCTGCTGTGAACTATGTAGTAACAAATACTCACAGTATATTCGGACCAAGCATAGAATTTGTTGAAAAACACAGATGCAACAGCCCCACATCTTGGCCAACCTCCACAAACCTTCATGTAACACAAACATAGATCACATAGGACAGAGCACAAAGGACAATTTCTTTCTATGGAAGGACAAGGGAAAAAACTTGGTGTAATGACACAAAACACAACAAACATAAGACAAGGTGTGTTAACACAAATCACAAAGGACAATTTCTTTCTATGGAAGGACAAGGATAAAAACTTGGTGAAGGTGAGCACAATCACAAATAACAAAGAAATCACAAACATAAGACAAGGTGTGTTAGCATAAATCACAAAGGACAATTTCTTTCTATGGAAGAACAAGGATAAAAACTTGGTGAGGTAAGCACAATCACAAATAACAAAGAAATCACAAGAAACATATAATAGGCGACTCATATTGTCATCATATGATCAATTCAACAACTATCAATGAGTTAAAAGCAAGTGCTACACAGACTAAATTTAAAAAAAATGCAAAACTCTCACTGCTGCCATGGTACATCGAGGACAAATGATCTCAATAAGATCTTTGGTTGGACTTTAACCCGACCGCACCCTCATGGTGCTTCTAGTATCCATGCACAAAAGTCATACTTCAACATCTTGGTCCAGTAAGAACAAAATCAAACTCATAATAATATAACACAAGACCCAATTGAACTATCTATAAACAAGAAGACAAGAGGAACATGCACATCCTCAAACTTCTCCTTGTCTT